GTGGTTGGAAAAGACCTTTAAGATCATCAACCATGAGCTTTTGGTCAGCTCCAGAGCCGCTGACCCCCTGCATGGCCAGGCTGGAGGTGAAGCCCTCCTGATCCTGCTGGTTCCTCTCCCACCATCCCCGCCCCGGCCCCACTCCCCAGCCGAGGGCAGGCAGGAGCTGCCCCTTCCACAGCAGGATTTTTGGTGTTTTCACCCACTGTCACCAGTTCCTGCCTGACTCCAGACCTGGGCTAATGGAAACCCTCACTGCAGGGGCTCTGGGTAGTTTTTCCCCCCTTTTTCTCAGCAGGCCAACACAGAAACATCGTGCAGGGATTTGTAACGCAGTCACTGACCAGGAGCCATCCAGGCCCCTCACACCGTGCAGAGGCCGGTGGGGTGTGGAGCTCAGGCCTGGAGGAGGGTGAGCTCTACCCCAGTGCCTTTGTGAAAGTGCTTTTCAAGGTGTGACAGTTTTTAGGCAGCAAACAGCAATGTTGCTTTTTTTTTTTTTTAATTATTTTTTTCCCCTCTAAGACAACAAAACTGGAGCCCACTGGGCTGGAACCGGCGTTCACGCTGCCTCGTCTTTAGAACAAGAGGTCGGGAGCAGCTGGGTCTCTTCAGCCTCTTCAGCCCCAGTTTGTGCAAAGTCAGGACTGTATTTTATTATTTTTTTAAGCCTGAGAAATGTGCAGAGTTTTTATTTGCAGGAAGTGCATTACAAACTAGTTTGGGTTTTTTTTAGGGGAAAAAAATAAAATTAAAAATAAGGTTTGATGGGTGAAAATCCCTCCGGAGGGTCTGGGCTGGGGCAGGTGGCTCCGTGTGGGACACTCACACGTCTCTGGTTTCTCAGTGTGCAGAATGTGTGTGACTGTCTCGGTGCTGCTGAGTTTATTCCTGTTCTGTGTAGTTCAAAAAATGAAAACCCAAAGGAGCAGAGTTGGTCCCATCATCCTTTACTAGGTGGTGTCGTTTTTAAGTGTTGATGATGAGTTTGGTAGTTCCTTACACTGGAATAAGAGTTGACTTCAGGATCTTTCATGTGTGGACTGTGAACTGCATCCATCACACTGAAGCCAAAATTACACTGAAGGTTTGTGGCTGTTTCTTCCCTTGTTAGAAACTAGACTAAGCTTTTATTTTATTTTTTTAAATTAAGTTCTAGTGTTAGAATTTACTCTCCCTCATAAGAAGGGGGAAGAATTAATCCTGCTGTTCAAGTTGCCACAGTTCTCTTGCCTCAGAGTTACTCAGTTTAAATTCAATGGCACTGTTTGATGTTACCTGGGTGTTCCTCTGGAAGTTTATTCAGACTGGGAGCAGTTTGGGGAGGGTTCCTGAACCAGCAGCAAGTCTGCTGGTGCTGATAGCAGCAGCTCACAGCTCCAAGGCTGGGAGGAATCAAGCTGTTCCTGATACCACAGCAAGAGCAGACACCCAGGAGCATCTGCAGGAGCCGAGGGCTCGGTGTGTTCTGAGCAGAGTCCTTTGATGGCTTTCGCAGCGTGAACATTGGCAACCTGGTCACTGGAGAAGAGACAAGATGTAGAAACCTCCCTCCCTCCCCAGGTGTTTAATCTACAGCTCATTTTGCTTTATTTACTTGTGCACTTCTGGCCTGAACCTGCATGTTCTCACCAGACACAGACCGTGTTTCTCTTGCACTGATGTACAGTTTATGGTCTCAGCAGTTGAGCCTGGTGCCCTGACTCTGCGTTAGCAGTGGTGTCTCTTGCTGTCCATACAAGTGTTGTGCTTTAGCCTGACACTGTGTGTTAGAAATCTGTGTGGAAAAGAGCATTTGTTGGAACCACCAACTTGCTTGTAAAATGAATAGGTTGGGGAGGGGGAAAGAGGGGGAGATTCCTGCCTTATGAACACTGTGAATTCACTAATTGATCAGCAACACCTGAATAATTTAAAGCTTTTAATTAAAAAATATATTAAAAAAAAAAAAGTCTTTTACACTGTTGGCTTATTTCTAACAAAGAGTGGAGGAGGCTTTGAGGAGGACAAGGCAAATACTGCCAGAGAGGCCGTGACAAGAGGCAGGTCAAAGTCTGACAGCTTTGCTTTCTGCCAGCCCCAAGGTGAAGGTCGGTGCTAACGGGGTGAGGGTGGGTTATCCTGGCAGAGGGTCTGGGCAGGGGTTTGCTCTGGGTGAGATGGAGGAACCAGCTCCATCTGTTTGTATTGGCTCTGAAGGAACAAAGCAAGGTGGCAGCTTTGTTTTCAGCTTTCATCCACTTTACTTTCTGCACTGTCCTTCCTCCTCACACAGCAGTAACGGGGAAAAGGAGAAATATTAAGTGATTCAATGTGATTCTCAAGTTCATATTCACTTGCAGCTACAGCAGTCACAGGAGGGGGGCCACATCTGCCAGTGTCCCTTCCCCTCGAGTTCAGGTACAGCTGCAAATCTGACTTCCCCTCCCTGAACACGTTGCCACTCCAGAAAAACTGATATTCAGATTAAATAAATCAAACCCAGTTATTCATTCAGTTGTTTTTCTGTGAATTGTTCTGGAAATGCCCCTATATAAGAACACAAGGGGTATTTTTTATGTGTGCCTGTGCAAGACAGGGACACACCATCTCCAGCACCAACAGACCAAATCTGTTCCACATCATCTGGTCAGACATCGCCATGTGCCGCAGTCAACCAGATGTGTTTTTATTAACCTCTTGGATTATTCTGGTAAACTATGTGTAGTGATTACATCTCACAGCTGCCTTCTATTAACTCTGGTACAGCAACACCTTTCAGAGACACCAAGGACTTTGTCCTTTGTTGGAAAGGAAGCTGGCTATAATTTTTTACTTGAAACACTGTAAAAAGTGGTTCTCTCTGAATTTTAAGGCTATTATCCATCAGGAAGTGGCTGCTGAGGATGGGGTAGATGTGACAATTCTGTGCCTCTCTCTACTGTGTATTTAGGGAG